CTAATGCACTTGGATGAATATTTAAGTTGTTGGGAAAAAATCCTTAGATTTCCTTAGATTTTTTCTCTTCCTTAGATTTTCCTTTTCGACACTAGAATTTCCTTAGAAAAGGAAATTTCCTTGAAAATGGAAGCACTGTAGCTTTGTGGGATGGAAAATGTTCATATATCAGTTTCATATATAGATCAGTGAGTTCTTACTACCGTCGTTGGCGTCTAAGCATGAACAGTGTGTCACCTGAAACTTTCTTAACCCCGCAACCTCGTACCCAGGCTCTTTCAGGAAAGAGATTGTCTCAACCGCGATTTAGCGAAAGCTTGATTTTATAACTTTTAACTTTTAGTAACTTTTTAATGTTTTTTTATACTAGTGAATACATAAACCAGAACAAAATAAATTATATAGATATAGATATATAACTTTTACTAAACACGCGCTGACCTCGTCAACTGAAGCTGATTTCCACGAGGGGCGTGTAACATATCAATTGCCTTGTAAAATATCAATTCTGAATTATTTTCTCACTCTGATAATTCCCAACCAGGTACATCAATCATGTTTTCGCTCGCTACTCGATAGATGATATAAATGAATACAAAGCCCTTTAAGCCCAGTCGAATCATAATGTCGAAACGTTGGGTCTTGATTACAATTCGACTGGGCTTTGTAACTTTTGTATTAATTTAATCATTTATATAAACCAAAGTAGCGAGCGAAAACATGATCGATCAATAACTAGACTGTATGCGATCTCGTCTCGTACATAACTACTGCGTCTATTTTAAGGTTTCACTTCGGAACGCCCACATTTTTATTTCGTATAGGCCGAGGTTTAACTGCCGAGCTAACTTGAGGTTATATTTCGCACAGTCCGCAGTCTATTTAAAAGTCATCTTCTCTTGTTACTTCTAAAAATACATCATATGCTTCTCTGTTGCAGCTGCCATCAGGAGTGAAAATATATTTGTGGAATGTTCCATCAACGCAGATCGCTGAAAACAAAAGGATTAAAAAGGTGAGTCAACACTTCTGTACTAAACATACTGCCACTGGACCTCTAGGGAGAACAGTTTAGAACTGATAGAGTTATCCAGTATAAATAGAGTTAGTTTAGTTTAGGTTTCCTCCTGTAGTAACACTGGATCAATAAGAGATGATCCTTACTGGACCTCTAGGAAGAACAGTTTAGAACTGATAGAGCTGTCCAGTATAAATAAAGTTAGCTTAGTTTAGGTTTCTTCCTGTAGTAACACTGGATCAATAAGAGATGATCCTTACTGGACCTCTAGGAAGAACAGTTTAGAACTGATAGAGCTGTCCAGTATAAATAAAGTTAGCTTAGGTTTCCTCCTGTAGTAACACTGGATCAATAAGAGATGATCCTTACTGGACCTCCAGGGAGAACAGTTTAGAACTGATAGAAGGACAGAACATAAAGTCTTCCCACCTATGACAGAATTGCCAGGGCCAAATGCGCAGATACACGGACATTCAGAAGGAACAGTAAAGTTGGCCAAAGCCCATTGCGACTCTACGTATTGTCCAAGGAAACTCATCTTTGATAACCTGGAAAATTGTGGAAAAACCAACATTAAACCAAACCAAACTTTGTAATTTTACTAATTTTAAGACGCTCTTTCCTGCTATGGTAATGGCTTCGTTTTTCTTGTCTAGATCAAAGCATCAAATCATACATTGAACTTACGTAGATCGTTTATTCAATGATGTGTCTTTAAGTGCAAAGATATGCACAGTTCCCTTGTCACTTGAGGCGCACAGATACGATGAATCATGACTGAAGTTGATACTAAATCATAACAAAAATTTCTTATATACAGGATGAAAATTTCCAGCCTCTTATTTCGACTATACACGTATTTTAACCCATTGAGTGGCAGCACTCTCCCCCTGACGAGTAAAATCGTCTGGCGTTAGACAGTAAAATCATCTGGCATTAGACAGAGTAAAATAATAAAGTAGGGTGCATCTGGGTGCATTGCCTCTTAAAGGGTTAACAGGGTGCATGGACAGATAGTCTGATTAACCCATTGAGTGGCAGCACTCTTCCCCTGAGAGTAAAATCTTTTGGCGTTAGACAGAGTCAAAATAATAAAGTAGGGCGCATCTGGGTGCATTGCCTCTTAAAGAGTTAAAGCCTATTTACACTATCAAAGTTTCTGTGATTACAGTAGGAATTTTGCATGGGTAAATTCTAAGTTTTGAAGGATTTGTAAGAAATGTTTGAGGGAACTTACTGAGTGTTATAAAGCATGGTTTACAATATCAAAGTTTCTGTGATTACAGTAGGAATTTTGCATGGGTAAATTCTAAGTTTTGAAGGATTTGTAAGAAATGTTTGAGGAAACTTACTGAGTGTTATAAAGGATGGTTTACACTATCAAAGTTTCTGTGATTACAGTAGGAATTTTGCATGGGTAAATTCTAAGTTTTGAAGGATTTGTAAGAAATGTTTGAGGGAACTTACTGAGTGTTATAAAGCATGGTTTACAATATCAAAGTTTCTGTGATTACAGTAGGAATTTTGCATGGTAAATTCTAAGTTTTGAAGGATTTGTAAGAAATGTTTGAGGGAACTGACTTGGTGTTTAACAGTAAGTAAGTTCCCTCTAACATTTCTTACAAATTCGTCAAAACTTAGAATTTAATGATGACCAATTTCTACTGTGATCACAGAAACTTTGATGGTGTAAACCAGACTTAAAGGCACAGTTCAGCCTGTTGAACGATGGTTTTTAAGGCGCATTTCAGCCCTTTTAATTGAAAAAACTAACTAGGAAAATCAATTAAGCATAATTCAAGATCACCAAACTTAATGTTTTTAACATTTTAAAACATTTATATTGTTAAAAACATCGAGTTTACTGATTTTGAGTTATGCTTAATTGATTTTCCTAGTTAGTTTTTCAATTAAAAGGGCTCAAATGCGCCTTAAAAATCATCGTTCAAAAGGCTGAACTGTGCCTTTAACGAACGTAGAGAGTCCTGTACCAGTATAGTGTTGCATGATCAGCGCCTCGTCTTAGTTCCACAACCAACTGCTTACTCTGCGTGTCAAACACGCGAATCAGTGTGCCCTATAGAAAGAAGTGAAAATTAATTTTTATTTAACGAGCTTTGACATAAATGACTGCATGGTGATTGCCCCATTCTTAGGGTCTCTTAAACTATCCACTACATCAATTACAACACATCATATCTACAAGGCTCGACAAAGGAGTGACATTTAACACAGACAGTTTTAAATGATTGTGGTACATTACTGTCATATATAAGTTCAGTCATTTCGTGATATTTCAACAAGTATGATTTCATTTGGCCAATGGCGTCACGGATATATGGTGGCAAGCAATTATATGTTTTAGGAGCTCTATTCAAATACGTAGCTATTTTGAAAAGTTAAAGTGTTTACTCTAGGAACGTTAGTTAAAATGTGACTTAGTACTTTACGGATTAGGATGTGTTCCCTTCATGACATTGGTAAAATGTAATTGCTTTAGAAAATGACAGCCGACCTTATCAGAGGCGGTAGCGACCATGGTTCCCTGTTGGTTAAATGCCAGACACGCTATTTCTCCTTGGTGTGCGCTGATCGTGACAGGAGACGATGACACGCCAGGTTGAACTGCTGAAAGATCCTGAGGAAGAATTGAAGTTTTAAAGAAATCTTATTTCCAGGTAATGGCAAGATGGTTAAGCTCTGGGCAAACTAGGAAACCTTTGGAATGCTAGCCCAATGCTCTGCCAACTGAGCTACGCGGTCTGGTCGGTTCGAGTATGTGATATTTCGGAACAGAATCTAGTTCCTTCGATATCAATGTAATCTAATAATCATGATTTGGGCTAGTATTCCAAAGGTCGTAGGTTCGATTCCCACCGTGGTCAGGCATATTTTTCAAGCTTGTCCGGTGTGGATATACACTCAGAGTAACATCACAAGCATCATATTCACCTGAGTACATTGCACCAACACAGAAAAAATTAGGAAACATTGTTGTGGAAACATTTTTATAAAATAACATGTATATAACGCGTGCTCTGATTGGTCGAAACCCGTGTTTGGATCAGGCCATCCGAACACGGAAGACTATCGTGTTGCTGTTATTTTATAAAACAATTACTTTATGGTTTTCGTGTTTGGATGGCCTGATCCAAACACGCGGGAATGTTGCTCGAGTTAAGAAAAGCGCGCAAAATCACTCGCCTTCGGCTCGTGTTTCGCGCGCTTTTCTTAACTCTCGCAACATTCCCGCGTGTTTGGATCAGGCCATCCAAACACGGAAACCATAAAGTAATTGTATAATGATTCTCGATGTTTCGGGAAATGTTTCCCTGTTTGCCCACCCATGGAAACATTGTTGCGGAAACAAAATTTGCTTCCCGAGAAGCAAAAATGTTTCCTAGCGAATTCAGAAACATTTGATGTTTCCCTATGTTTCTCACTAATGTTTCCTAGTGTTTGCGCACTCTTGGAAATATGGTGAAACATTGGTAGGAAACAATGTTTCCGCAACAATGTTTCCTATATAGTTTACCCAGGGCTTTACTCAATGTATATTGCATACAGTAGTTAATCTCTCTGAAGACTACACACGTAAAAACGCGCAAGTTGTAATGGATGATTCCCGGCTATAGACTAAATTTTGATCAAGGCAAGAAGAACGACATCCAACACCACAGCTAGAAAGAGCGTCTTAGAATGAGTAAAACTGCAAAGATTGGTTGCAAAATGTTATAAAATGAACAACATATAGCCCTATGAATTTCGCAAATTTTGTATATATTTCAGATATTACGCGCGGTAAAAATAACCACTTTGATCGGCTCAATGGTTATTTTTTGCGCGCGTAATGCAAATATATACAAAGTTTGCGAACTTCACAGGGTTTATATTTTCCTCATTTTACAACAATTCACTTTGTTACAAGGTTGATGACGGAAACAGACTTGCTCCAAGTTGTTCCAACAAGACCAAACTGTCCATAACAAGTTGCTACCAGCTTCTTGTCACCAACTTGTTACGTGACAAGTGAAATATGGCACATTTATTTTGTTCAGATCTCCAGCTATCTTTTGAAATGAGAAATTCTAGGAATAACATACACTGATTTCAATTGCTCCACATTTCTTTGCAGGAAAAACAATCAATGATTTTTCATGATTTGGGCACACTTGACATAAACCTGTATAATACAAAAAACAAAAATGCACCCAAGTAAATCAGAGATTCCACCAACCTTGTACCCAGGGCTAGCCACGCGTTGAAGGCAACTCACGGCTAGCCCTGGGTATGAGGTTGAGATTCCACTAGACATATCCATGACACAGAATAAAGACACACAGAAGGTAGACTCGAGTAACCGCTGCCACGCCATGATTCATCATCAAAATGCTGATGCCATATGGTCCTAGCCAGTGCTGTGCATTTGAGAGGCATCCCCCCTGGACGTCTGCCATTTTGAATATTATCAGGGGGGTGAATGCCTCTCAAACATGCTCACTGGTTATGAATTACAGTTATGCCAAAATCATTGGAAAATCATAGGAAAAACCAAGAAGTTGGGCTTCTGTATGACTTATTATGTGTCCATGTCACTGCAGATTTTTTATCAATACCTTTTGGATTTTCTCTTGTTTCAAAGTACAAAATTTTCTTGGGATCATTTGGAAATGAACAAACATAAATTCTTGTTCTTAGCACAAAAAATATCCTTTAAAAATAGAAAGCTAATAGTCATCACATGGTTAAAGTGGGACAAAAATTATTTTTTACAAATTTGAAAGCAATTGTGTACTATACAAATGATCACTTACATGTCTTTCCTTAGTCTCACTCTAAATACTGGTATATTAAACTTAAACTCTAACACAAATTTGCCAAGTTTATCATCCCAAATGAAAACTATAAAAAAATAAAATTAATATATTGGGTAGTCATTTCCATATTAACCCTTTAAGTGGCAATGCACCCAGATGCACCCTACCTTATTATTTTACTCCGTCTAATGCCTGACGAATTTACTCCATCTACAAAACCAATCTACAACCCTAATCAGAACCTGTAATCATGACCTAAATCTTAACTCAAATCCTTGTGACATCTTGGGATAGTATTATGGAAAGTCATCTGAATAAAAAAAATAACCTTTATTGTTTGAGTATGTTCCCATGCCATTTCCTATAATTGCTACTAAATTACTTCTGTGTAACATTTCAACTTGGGAGACACCACCATCCAGCTCTAAGTATGTACAAACAAGTAAATTAACAAATAGAGATCATAAAGAAAGCTCATAAATATACATTCTTTATTTCTTGAGTGAACTGTGGCATATGTGGCATGGGTTAATACATAGTGTACAGGTGGAAAAAATAAGGGGGGGGGGCAGACGGACATAAATTTGTCTGACATTGATGAATTTAATTGGCCAACTTTATAAGGGATTTTAAGCATCATTTTCATCTCAGCATTTTAATGTCACGACAAAATATATTATACCAAATAAAAGAAAATCTGCCTGACTGGGGGCCTGTGCCCCCCCCCCCCCTGCAGGACAAATTATATACTGCTCCTGGGGTAAGGTCCACAGTACCTTTGCTTAATTTTTGTGACAAAGGTTCTGTGTTATAGATCTTGAAACCATTCTGCATTGCACTTGCAAAACAACCTGAAATATAATGTTTTGATGAAAGACTTAGTTGATTACATAATTAGTTAGTTAATCAGATAATTAGATAATTAGTTAGTTAATTAGATAATTCTAAAGTTAGTTAGTTGGTTAGTTCATTAAATAATAAGTTAGTTAATTAGATAATTAGTTAGTTCTTTAAGTAATAAGTCAGTTAGATAATTAGTTAATTAATTAGACCAACTATCAATCAATAATTTGGCCAATCAATCAGTCAGTGAAATTATATCAATCAATTAGTCAAGGCAATTAATCAATCAATGACATATAACCAATCAAATTATTTGATCAAACAATCAATGAAGTAACCAATCATTAAAGCAATCAAATAATCAACCTGAAAGCTGATTATCTGCTAAATCCCTGGGCCAAAAACCAATAATGGAATCATAATTACACCAGTTTTTATTGATTAACAGTCGATCTATCGATCATGTCATCGAATAATCGATTACATCAATAGCTAGTCTAAAAACTTCTACTGAAACAATACAATCAAGAAGCACAAAATAATTACAAACCATGATCTTGATTGAAACTGATAGACACCACTTTCTCCATAGATTTACATCAAATTCACAACACAACAATTTATATTCATTCGCCTACAATTTCACGACATATCAACTTTGTATTCGACTGATGTTTCGCTCAATTTTGATAATTTCAAAAGCTTTTTTACTGAACACAACTACAAACAAAAGAAACAAATCCTATGTAAATGTTGGCTAGTGAAAATCCATTTACTATTGAAACAAACTTTCATTTGCTCAAATTTTCGCCATTGTTGTTTACTGTATAATGAATAAATTATTAAATTCGAAACATTGCAAAACACGAATAAGACAAGCGACTCAATTGGCTACAAAGTATACGTACCTTTCTATCGAGCGTTATGATTGGCTCGTCTTATCTCCCAGGAGGCCAGGGACTCTTTACTTGCTCGGTCGCATGATTTGGGAAATGTTTTGAAATGTGCTACTGTCGAATAAAAAGTTTCGAATTGTTTTGTATCCTTTTCGTGTTTTTATAAAACAAAAGTGGTGAATTAAATAATATATTTAGGTGAGTTTTGTAATTGTTTGACAAGATATTTTCCTTTTGATGTGTGCAAAGAAAGTTTATAAACTGTTCTGCCCAAATGAACTTCGCACGTTGAGTTTTAATTAATTGTGATCATTTCATCATTAATCTGAAATTTAATGGTATTTACTATTATGGTAACGGTCATCAATTGTTATTTTCTTATTGATGTTTATCATCAATTGATGGTTCCAATGATGATCATTATTGATTACATTTTCAATCAGTTGATCATTGTTCTGTTTGATTGATTGATGAATTGTGATAATCATCCAGTGATTATTGCCCTGACTTAATTGGCAATGATCAACAATTGTTATTTTCTTATTGATGATTATCATCAATTGTTATTTTCTTATTGATGATTATCATCAGTTGATCATTTCTATTTGATTCATTGATTGATGAATTGTGATAATCATCAGATCATTTAATTGCTCTCACTGACTTAATTGACAATGATCATAAATTAATTGTCACTTAATTTAATTGATGATTATAATCAATTGGTTACTCTACTAATAGCAATTATTGATCATACTTTTCTTATTGATATTTTGATGTTTAGCTATTTCTTCGTGTTTCAAGATGTGATCACTGCATTTCAAGCAATGGCTACATTTGACAGGACAATCATACGTAATTCAAGTGATATTCCCATTGCATTCACTGGCTGTTTTGATGATTACAATGTTACATCATGTGTAAGGTTTGTGTCTTCACCTGTTAAGTTGCATTGCACTCTGATGTGCTGCCATACATACTTTATTATTATACTTTGCCAGATGATTTTATATGTCAGGTGGACAGTGCTGCTGCTCAATGGGTTAAGCTGTTGTGGTTTGTGTCTCAACTCTGAACTACTGGAAAAGGATTAAAACATTTTAACCCATTGAGTGGCAGCACTCTCCACTTGACAAGTAAAATTGTCTGGCATTAGACAGCTAGAGTAAAGTACTAATTAAAGTAGGTTTATAGTTTAAAAACTATGGTGTTGAGATCCAAATGCGGGCAGCTTATTTTAGAAATACTCTGCAGTCTGCCTACAGGGAACCTGCAATTATTATCAGAAATAAAAATTGCATAACATTAGACAGAGTAAAATAAGAAAGCAGTAAAAGAATATTACTGTAATATAAACAGTCAATTTTTCTGTGTATAGGGATTCTGTTTTGAGTGGATTTGCTATCATCACTGCATTTGTTTGTGCTGTCAAGGTATTAATTAAATTGAAATATTAACAAATTAACAAAAGTACTAGCTGTAGCCATAAAACTTTAACAGTCCCTTCCAGAAAGGATGACACTTTGGCTATTGAGCGTTGTTTTTGTGATTGAGAATTTTTTGAATTTAATTATTATCTCACATACATGAATAAAACAAGGCTCCAACATCCAGAATGACATACTTTCTGCAAGGATAGTAAATGGAGTATTGTAGATATAATTAATATTGTCATAATTTAATTAATCAATTAATATGATTCTAAATGATGGTTGTTTCGAATCAACAGCTTTACAATCTGTTCAGAAATCAGCATTCTTTGCCTAACCAGTACATTATATTTTTCTGTGGATTGGTACAGTGCATTCTTTGGTAAGTATATTGCTGAACCCATTATTAAGTTGTAATTATAATATATACCCAAATATGGAAAGTTTGTATTGTGCAACCGAGATATTGGTCACACAATTTTGATACTATATTGATCTCTTGATGCTATATATTGATCTATATATTCACTATTAATCTTTTAAAGATGTTGTAAAGTCTGTAATGTAAACAAATGCTTTGTATACATTTTGAACTGCGGTGCTACAATTGTAAAATATGATAAACTTTTGTTTACATTTTGAACTGCGGTGCTACAATTGTAAAATATGATAAACTTTTGTGTACATTTTGAACTTCTATATTTGTAAAATATGAATATCTAACACTTTTCTGGTTCACTATGCTTGTAAATGAATATAGACTCTATGTTTCAATTCAAAAAAGTTCCAAAGATGCAAAAATTGGGCAATGTTTCTGTTTCTGTGGGTCCCCCTTTGTTATGTGCAGAATGAACTTAAATTACAGCATCTTTACTGTTTATTTTATGTTTACAATTTCCAAACTTTGCAGTCAGGTGTATCCCAATATACACTATCGGTAACTTCTATTTAATGTATCTTTGTAAAGTGACATTGTGTTCATTCCAGTGCCATTAATTGGATCTACCTTTGGAAATATTCAATCATCTATGTCATTGAATTTCTCAAGATTGTTCAGGTACTCACAAGATATGCTTGAAACCTGAAATTTTGTAAACTACCAATTAATACATACTTCTGGACATGTGTATAAAATATCAAGATTTCTTTGGCATTGCGCTCGATTGAATAATAGTTGAAGGGTATCTAATTGTAGATGGAAATTATCGAGTGGAAATTTATATAAAATACATTTATTAGATCTAACAGAACAGAAGCGAAAAATGCAACTTTAGGCAGGGGCGTAACTTGGGTATCAGCATTTGGGGGGTGTCAACAATATTTGCCCAATAAAATCAAGTTTTGCCCGACAAAAAGGGGCGTGGACAGTTAGTTCTACACAAGTATTTGCTAATGTATATTATGAATATGCACTATTACTATAACATCATCATCAAAGGTATGAATGTCAATACAGTCATTTAAATTCGATGTATCTATCATGTTGCGAAACGAATAACGAATTATTGTTTTTATAGTACTTCATTTCTTGCTGATTAAAATGCATGATCCAAACACGCTAAGAACAATGCTAAAAACAAAACTCGGTCGTCGGTCAATCTTCAAATTCTGCAATACGGTTTTTTTGTTGTTTACCCACAGTAAAGCAAGGTAACCTTGCCCAACAAATAGCACGTGCTTTGAACAAGTTGCCCGACAAAATTGCATTTGTAAACGCGGTGGAGGGGTGTCGCACCACACACACCCACCCAGGAGTTACGCCCCTGACTTTAGGTCCCTGGCAGGAATTGAACCTGCGGCCCTCAGCAATTCCAGTGGAGCGCTCTGACCAACTGAGCTACAGAGACGATGAGTTGTCAAGCTCTAACTAAGTTCATGTATATATACTAGAGTACTGTCATGTGTAGGTTATATGTAAAAATATCAAGATTTTGTTGGTATCTCACTCGATTCAATAATAGTTGAAGGATATTGTACAGTAGATGGAAATTATCGAAATTATTATATATGTACATTTATTAGACCTAACCAGGATATCAATGGACCATTTGCATTATAGACTAAATTTTGATCTAGACAAAAATTTCATCACAGTTTGAAAGAGCATCACAAAATTAGTAATTTCCCAAAGTTTCGTTGCGAAATGTTGTAAAATGCGGATAATATAGCCCTGCGAAGTTTGCCGTTTTTCAGTCATTTTGTATTACGCGTAGGAAATTGACAGCCCAATCGGGTGTTGGGGCATCAATTTCCCGTTTGTAATACAAAATGACTGAAAATTGCAAATTTCGCAAGGCTATATTATCTGCATTTTACAACATTTCGCAACGAAACTTTGGAATATTACTAATTTTGTGATGCTCTTTCAAGCTGTGATGAAATTTTTGTCTAGATCAAAATTTAATCTATAATGCAAATGGTCCATTATCTAATAAATGCATATAAATGTCCACTCGATAATTTCCATCTCCAATACCCTTCAACTAATACTTCTGGAAAGCATGACACCTTGGCTATAGAGCCTCATTTTCATGTTGAAATGTTAGGCTTCTACTGAGGTCACATACACCAAAACGAGGCTCACTTTCTGGAAGGGTGTGACATTATTCTTCTAACATTCTAGTGTGTGGTAGTATGCAGATTTTACTGTACCTTAGCAGCTCAGATATACAGAAAGGATCATTTAGCCAGGTATAATACTGATTTTTTAATTTTATTTGCTCTCCAATTTACCATCAATTTATTCATGTTTACCACCTCTCCCCGCCCCCCCCCCCTCATTTTGCCCTCAAAATAATCACCTTTATTTTCCCCTGTCCAAAGGTAGACACCACTTCCAATTCCCCTCTCCTCAACACAGTATATATCCCATCCCCTGCGCAATTCCTCCCTCAATTTCGGGGAGTTTTGGCATTTCAAAACAAATTTCTGGTATTTGAAAACAAAGTTTTGGCATTTGAAAACGGAGTTCTGGCATTTGAAAACGGAGTTTTGGCATTTGAAAACGGAGTTTTGGCATTTGAAAACGGAGTTTTGGCATTTGAAAACGGAGTTTTGGCATTTGAAAACAAAGTTCTGGCGTTTGAAAACGAAGTTTTGGCATTTGAAAACAAAGTTCTGGCATTTGAAAACGAAGTTTTGGCATTTGAAAACAAAGTTCTGGCATTTGAAAACAAAGTTCTGGCATTTGAAAACAAAGTTTTGGCATTTGAAAACGGAGTTTTAGTATTTAAAAACGGAGTTTTGGCATTTGAAAACAAAGTTCTGGCATTTGAAAACGGAGTTTTGGCATTTGAAAACAGAGTTCTGGCATTGAAAACGGAGTTTTTGGCATTTGAAAACAAAGTTCTGGCATTTGAAAACGGAGTTTTAGTATTTAAAAACGGAGTTTTGGCATTTGAAAACAAAGTTCTGGCATTTGAAAACAGAGTTCTGGCATTGAAAACAGAGTTTTGGCATTTGAAAACAAAGTTCTGGCATTTGAAAACGGAGTTTTAGTATTTAAAAACGGAGTTTTGGCATTTGAAAACAAAGTTCTGGCATTGAAAACGGAGTTTTGGCATTTGAAAACAAAGTTCTGGCATTCGAAAACGGAGTTTTAGTATTTAAAAACGGAGTTTTGGCATTTGAAGACAAAGTTCTGGCATTTGAAAACAGAGTTCTGGCATTGAAAACAGAGTTTTGGCATTTGGAAACAAAGTTCTGGCATTTGAAAACGGAGTTTTAGTATTTAAAAACGGAGTTCTGGCATTGAAAACGGAGTTTTAGTATTTAAAAACGGAGTTTTGGCATTTGAAAACAAAGTTCTGGCATTTGAAAACGGAGTTCTGGCATTTGAAAACAAAGTGCTGATATTTGAACTCTGAGATTGTGGGTTCGATCCTCGCTACGGACTCATGTCCATTTTCCCATCTCCATTTTCCATTTCCATCTCTCCATTTCCCCTCTCTATTTAACCCCAATTCCTCCACTAAATTCTCCCTCCCCCTAATTCGAGCACCTCTACAGATTTTGCCCCTCCCCCACAAATGTTCCCCCACCTTTGATAACATTTTGTTTCAACTTGAAGCCGTACTGTTCCTCTATCTGCTGTGGTGTTTCTGCTTGCTGTGTTTGGGATATGCATCAGTGGCTGGGCTACACTCAAAAGTGACAAAGTCGACTGTTTAGGTACAGTGCAGTTGTACCACGTTTTAAGACTCAATTATAGTCAGCCCTTTTGAGTTAACCCTTTTTGATCCAGCATGATTTGCTAGGGGTAGGAGGATGGGTGCTCTGGTGCCGAATTGTGTTGGTCATGTGTGCCGCCCGCCCATCAACATACTGTATTTGAATTGTGATTGTTGTTCACAGCTTGCCTATCATCATGTTATTGTTCAGAATACTGTATTTCATAAGTTCTTTGTAGGTTTGCATGGCGATAAAACATATAATACTATTGTTTGTGGAAACACCACGTAAATTTATTACTGCAAAGTTTTCTTTTTTTACGGATCGAAAGCTTTGCAATAATAAATTTACGTGGTGTTTCCACAAACAATAGTATTATACCGTATTTCATTTTGTCTCAATTATGTTTTGCTTTATCATGATAAATATCCCCTTCTCCCCCTTTGGCCAGGGCTAGCAGGGGGGGTGCACCTGCACCCTGGTGCACCCTACTTTATTGTTTTACTCTGTCTAATGTCAAACTAATCTCGTCAAGTGGAAAGTGATGTGCTATTCAATGGGTTAATATTTGAATTTATATTTCAGCAACCCAGTGGATTCTTTTGGCCATGGCTGAATTTGTGAATGCTCAATTTTTCCTGCTTGCTGGCCTCTTCGTAACAAAGTAAGGATTTTGTTATGTGATGTGTTGCAACATAGTCTTTCAAAACATGGTTTGGAAACTCCGCTAAAGTCTTTGTTCTATCTTTTTGTTCGCGTTTATGCAGTTTTGTGCACGGTGCACGGTCAATGAACACATTGTGTTTCAGTATAATGAACGAATCATCCAATAGCAACGTTTCATTTCAGTCATTCAACCATGCATTTAAATATTAATAAACCTAAAACAAAGGATGCGCACGGTGTACGGCTCAACATAAACTCCCAGTTCATTATAACCGCTTTGAAGTTTACTGAGTTTCCAGACCATGTCTCGAAAGACTATGGTTGCAATCATCAGACCAACTGCTAACTGAAGTACCAAAATAATTTCTAGGAAATTGAATGATGTTAGGACATTGGATGATATGAGAAATTCTAAGAAGCGTGAGCTTTGGGGGTGAGTAAATATCCTTCTTAGAGCAGAGGGAACAGACTGAGTGATTTTTTCATTTGTATTTATGTTTTCTAGAAATATCACCGTTTTTGAAATATCAGCTGTTGCAAGTGTTGTCCATGATGCGATATTCAAAGCTCGTAAGTTTATTTTTCATTATTTTCATAGAATTATATTGACAGTTTTCACTATGGCTGGATTTTGAGTGGGGGGGGGGGGGCGACCTCCCCTGAGAATTTTTGCACCTCTCCTTGGGAAAGTTTTAATGATAGATCAAAGTAAAAATTTGACATTTTCGGTCCTTTAACAATCCATGGATTGTAAAATAACTGGATAGGAAACTTCTGACGTCATTGACTGCATCCTTGTTGAAAAACGTGACGTCACGCGTATTGCGAATGTTACCAAAGTTCTCGGCATATTTGTTGTTTTGCTATATTTTCCACTTTAAAAG